GTAAACCCTGGTTTATTAGAGAGTTTATTAAAGTTCCCCTTACCACTAGTGTTGCTGGATTCCATTTTTGTACTATTTATGTTGTGTCTGCTTTCATGCACCTTGTGAGCTGATAAAGTCGCTCCAGATCTAACCTTGTTATTACTTACTTTTTTTTTTCTCTTGCTCAGGTGTCAATTGCGGGTCAGAATGCAGAGGGAATGGGTCCTAGTAAAAAAGTGGCCAAACGAAATGCAGCCGAGAAGATGCTGGAGCTTCTGGGCTTCAAAGTGCCTCAGCCACAACCACCCAAACCGGCATTGAAAACAGATGAGAAAGTGAGTGTGTCTGCTTATTAGTAGCATTTACTTTGCATCAAAAACATGGTGAAAGTAGTTTCAGGGGTTTTCAAACTGTGGTCCTGTGCCGGAAGGGACTGAAAGGAGAGTTTGAGAGGGTAAAAAAAAATATAGATATATAATTTTAAGGCTTTCAAAGTTAAGATATCTACTTATGTATTAATGCAACATGTTTAATGTAATGTTTTTGGTTTTGTTTTGTTTTTTTCATTTTTTGTAAATACTGGTCAGAAATCATTACTTTTTTAAATTTTATTCACATAAGTAGTTCTTAACGGTGGGTAAATAAAAGAAAAATCTGCATTTAATTTTGTGTAAAAATTAGTAACTAAAAGGTAAAAATTTGCCAGATAATACATTTTCTGGAATAAAAAAAGAACAAAAATATTTATTTAAACAACAATATAAAAGCCAAGTATTTAATTTGGAAAATAATAATTTACGTTTGCCTTTATAATATGACGCCTAATAATTTTATCTCCCAGCTGAAACTTTTGAACACAGGGAAAATATTGCTGCTATATGGAAAGGGGTCATCATCCTATTTAGGGATCCTTGGCATCAAAAAGTTTGACAACCCCTGAATTTATTCAGAAAATGATTATTTACTCATTTTTATCTTGTTCCAACCCTCCATAGCTTTCTTTCCACCATGGAGCATGAAGAGAAACATACGAGTGTCAACTAAAAGTGTTAGTGTAAAAAGTTAGAGTACTTTTTTTTTCATTTATCTTTATAAAGGCACCTGCTAAGAAACCTGGAGATGGACGAAAAGTGACCTTCTTTGAACCGGGATCTGTGGACAAGGCTGGTCTTGGTATGTCATTTGTCATATTCAGCTGCTATCATCAATATAGATGTGGTCATATGTACATGGTCCTTGTATCAATGTTCATTTTAGTGAATATTATTGCTTGCGATTAACACTTGCATTTCTCAAAGCAGTCAACAAGGAAGAAGATTTCCGAATTCCTTTTCTCAGCCATCAGCAGCTTCCTGCTGGCATTTTACCCATGGTGCCTGAGGTGGCACAGGCGGTGGGTGCCAACCAGGGACCCCATGCAAAAGACTACGGTCGTACAGCTGCCCCCAACCCAGCCATGGCCACAGTAACGGCCATGATTGCCAACGAGCTGCTGTACGCTGGCACGTCCCCGACCGCAGAGGGTATACTAAAGACTAAAAACAGCTTGGCACACAGACCCCACGGACCCCTTACTAGACCATCCGAACAGCTCAGCTACCTGGCCACTGTACAGGGATTACAGGTATTGAATATAATGATAACACACTTATCCTCCCCATTGATGTCGCTCAACCAATCTATTTTTTTTTTTTTTGTCACAGGTTGAATATAAAGACTTTCCCAAAAATAACAAGAATGAGTTTGTGTCTCTGATCAACTGCTCCTCTCAGCCCCCTCTCATCAGCCACGGCATTGGCAAGGATGTGGAGTCCTGCCATGACATGGTAAATCATTTTTTAATTTTTCTTTTATTAATGCATTCAGCAAGGAGACATTACACTGATCAAAAGTGTAAGTTAAGGGTACGTAAGCCTAAAATGGGTTAAGGGGCTTTCAGTAATTGCACAATTACAAGTAAATTGACTACTGCAGCAAACATTAATAAATCATGCTGCATGGTTCATTTAAATCTGCTCCCATAAATTTTGCATCTGAAAGTAAAAAACTCCTACAAGGTCAGCCGCAAAAATAACTGTCCACGCCTTTTCACTGCTAATTTTATCTTAAATAAAATAAAATGGTAAAAAAATGGCAAAAAAAAAGATTTCTATTTACAATTTGTACTTTCTAATCATTGAAGAGTCCTGGAACAAAAAAGTGTATTACGATTTCCACAAAAATATTAAAGGGATAGTTCACTTTAAAATTAATTTTTGGTATGTTTTAGCTTACCTCAAGGGCATCCAAGATGTAGGTGTCTTTGTTTCCACAGTATTTTCAATTTTTATATTTTTTGGTCAAACCGTTCTTGTCTGTCAGTCATATAATGCAGGTCTATGGTCACCACCTCAAAGAGCATGCACAGAGAAGTCCAAATTAAACATGATTTAATGACTCGTAAATGTAAGTACACATTGATGGCCTAAGACACGAAACGAGCGGGTTGTGTGAGAAAACGAACAGTATTTATATCGTTTTTACCTCTTGTAATCATAGTTGCGTCCAAGTGATCTGAGGACGAGGGCAGAAGTGATCTCTCGCGATCTAAATATCGAAATCGTCTTCCATTGCGATTTCCTGTATATCTAAATATGTTTAGATCTTCACAGTGAAGGATAACACTTCTGAAATCTCTGTGTAAACAATGAGTGACATACACGCGTGAGAGATCACTTCCTGGGCTTTCCGGCACATAATGGAAGTGACTGTGGTTACAAGAGGTAAAAACGATATAAATACTGTTCATTTTCTCACACAAACCGATCGTTTCATGTCTTAGGCCATCAATGTGTACTTATATTTACGAGTCATTAAATCATGTGTAATTTGGACTTCTCTGTGCATGCTCTTTGAGGTGGTGACCATATGCCTCCATTATATGACTGACAGACAAGAACGGTTTGACCTAAAAATATCAAAATTGAAAATACTGTGGAAACAAAGACGCCTACATCTTGGATGCCCTTGAGGTAAGCTAAAACAAGTGAACTATCCCTTTAAGCAGCACAACTGTTTTTAACTTTGATAATAATAAGAAATGATACTTTGGCACCAAATTATCATATTAAATTTACTTCTAACGGATCATGTGACATTGAAAACTGGATTTAAATTTAACTGGATTCATTTAAAATCGCAGTAATATTTCACAATATTGCTATTTTTAACCTTATTTTTGATTAAATAAATGCAGCCTTGGTGAGCATCAAATCCTTCTTTCCAAGTCTTTTTATCATGGTATTGTACTTTAAAGATTACCGTGGAAGATCTATCTCTACTTGTCCATTACTTACTGCAATGCCTCTTTCTCTCCGGACAGGCTGCTTTGAACATCCTGAAGCTCCTGTCAGAACTCGACCAGCAGTCCAATGAGCGCACAGCTAATGGACCAATGTCAGGGTCAGTATTGTATGGTCTTATTCATTTTACATGAACTAGTTGTATTAATATTGGCATGCTTCCACTCTTCCAGAGTGATTTGAACTCTTCTCACCTATCTACGCCTCCACAGGTGCAACAAACAGGACCTAGAGGGCAGTGCATTATTAAAACCGGCTAACTCAAGCACCATCGGAAAGACTCTGGATGGCACAGTGTAGAATTGGCTATTTGATTAGTCGTTTTATTTGCGAAACACTAGAGAAAAGTCAGAAGCAGAGTTTTGATTGGCTGTTCAAAAAGGCCTTTGAGTAATTCAGCATTTATCTTGGATTTAAATTAATTTAAAGTATTCAAAACTTGCAGTTGAATAAGATTGAGAGATGTTGATGTTTAATGTGCACATGCGGTGATACATTTTTAAACGCTAAGGCTTTGGAAAAGTCGCCTCATCATATCCAGTGAAGTGGTGGTTTTGTTTTTGTTGTTAAATTGTAAAATGGTTATTGTGAAGTTTGACCATTAGATTGGCTTTTCTTCATTGTTCCAAGGAAGTCATGTATTCAGTGTCATAATTTTATTTTCTCGCTTTTATTTTTCTATTATTTTTTTTTTTAACGTTGTATTATAGAAACCCATGGAGTTGGGTTGTATTAGCGCTGTTGTGAAGTGCAGTCTAAAACCCCGTCGAAGGATATGATGAAGCTTTCAAACAGTTTTCTGCTGTGGCGGTTTTTTCTTCAGTGCTTTGAGTTACAATGAAGACCATAACACTTTAAAAAAAAAAATCATCTACATTTTCATGTAGGTCTGGGAAAATGTTATTGTGACTTCAGTGTAGAGCGTGTGGTGGTGTTTTTTTGTTTTGTGTGTGTGTGAATGAGTGAATGTATGTATAAAGCACGATATTGTTCAGTCATGTCAGTTAAGCTGATGCATTCTCCTATCAGTGTTGACCCCACCCACTCTCTGCCAGTTGCATCCTGTTTTCCTCATCAAATATGAGTAAAAATGATGTGCCTCTTGCACAAAAAACCTGTGTGTGTTCTGTTAATGCTACAATTGGGGATCTCATGGTCATGGAATTTTTAAATGTAGGTTTAAAGGCCTAAAAAATGTCTCTGAAGAATAATTAGAAAAGCTTTTTTTTATATTGGGAATCTATTTATTTAACTTTGAGTACAATTTCTGTTAAATGGTGTAAAAAAAATAATTATGTGGGCATTCTATGTAAATGGGGACAAGAGTGAGCAGTTTTGGGTAGCGTTACTTTTAAAGTAACGCATTACAATATTGTTACCTCCTAAAAAAGTAACTAATTTTTAGGAGGTATTTTATTGAACAACAAAAAAATAACAGTTCTAATTTTGGCGAATGGAAAGGCCCTTTAACGCTACCTCAGGCTGAAGGTAATGCAAAGTCACGCCTATACAGTAGAGGGCGCATCGTAGACAAACCTTTCAGCTGTGCTGCCATTATGGATTGCAGAAAAATCGACAAAATAAAAAACAAAAAGTAAACAAATTAAGCAAATTAATTTTGCTTATTAGTATAGTTGAATTGAATCAGTGAAGGCCAGCCGCAAAGACAATGGTTAATACATTTAATGTAACATTTATTAAGTATTGCAGGTTTGCGTAATAATCTGTTTGCATCTCAATGTTTTTATATTCATTTTTAAGGATCACTGAATCTGTTTTTGAGAACTATTATAATTATGAGAACTATAATAGAACTATTATAACTGACATGGTCTCACTGTGTGCACACAACACCTCTGCACTTACTCATTCTCTCAACATGGGGACAGGAGAGGTGTCAATCATTAAATGGGAAAAAACAAGTACATTTTTCAAAGAAGTAACATATGTTACATTGTTTTAAAAAATAAGATTGAAAAATGAATGTTATTTTACTAGTGATTGATTACAGAACTTGCATTACTTCTAAAGGGGCAGTGTTAATCAACATTCCTGAATGTAAATGTACCCAAATTGGCCTAAAGGCTAGTTTTTGTTGGTAGTCGCTTTGCCAGATGTAATCGGGACTAAAAACTAAACTAAAGAAAAGATAAGAGAGAGAAAAACAACAACAATACAACCAGATTTGGAACTTGCGGTTTGTTTTTATGAACAAGTACAAGCAGCAAATTGTTTTCAATATAATTGGAAGCCACAGGGGGGGGAAACACCAGTACACTCTTATTTAAATGGTTATTATGCCCAATGACCTTCAGTCCAGTCCCAATCCAGCTTAAAAACACATTTCAGATGTGAGCCATATCAGTGGTTGTTGAACGACTCACGCATGATTGATTAGCCAGCCTGAAAAACAGAACACAACTGAAGTGGGCCTACATAACCAGAAGAAACCCATTTCACTCCAAACAGTGACATACGCACACATCCAACCAATTCAAAGAATATTCCACGCATTATTTGCTGCAGCTGTTCAAAAAAGACCCGTCAAATTTGAGTGTTCTGGATGTTTAAGCAGCCTTTATTGGGCCGTTGGCTGCTCTTTTCTTCCTCATGTTCTCAATGAAAGGGTACATGCATCGGTCTGAACCCATAAAGCGATATGTCACCACATTGGATTCCCATGGAAACAGGCTGCAAAGACAAGATGTCATTCAATTCAAATGCTGATGAGTAGGGCATCAAGGTTTGCTCTTTTAACGGAAAGAATATATGTATGTCATAAAAGAGGCAGAATTATTTAGTGTGATGCAAATGTGAATAGAAATCAGACTTCAAGCATGCTGATGTTGGTCTGTACTCACGCTCTGGCCAGGAAGGGGAAGTAGGTTAGTCTGGGGATGCACACTAGCGGCTGGTCTATGAGAATGGCATTCATAGCCTGCTGTACGCAGTACAAGGGCTCCAGTGGAGGCAGGATCAGTTCAACCTCTTCCCTGTAGGGGGAGAGAAACGGCAACAGTCGAGTACTATGAAGGGCCATTTACTGTGATTTACACGTTCAGTGTAGACCTTGATTTCTGAAGGATCATGTGAGACTGAAGACTGGAATAAATAATGATTGCTGAAAATTCAGCTTTGTATCATAGAAATATATTACATTTTTAAAATATTCAAATAGAAAACTTATTTTAAAAACTATTACCGTATTATTATTATTTTTTTTTATCAAATAAATGCAGCCTTCATGAGCATAAGGGAACACATTATACACTGACCTAATCCTGCAGCCATCAAACATGCCAGTGTCCACAACATAAGGGCACACAAGAGTGGTCTTCACTCCATCCACGTCCTCTTCCGTCAGCAGTTCATGGGCCAGAGACTCATGAAACCCCACCGCGGCAAACTTACTGGCACAGTAATCCTAAAATTCACACATAGACATCACTAGTTTAATGAGGAATTAGGAATAAAGCAAATGATTTTAAAAAAGTGGGTTTTGAATACTATGAAAAAAAGAGCCCTTCTCACCTCTACACAGGCTGTGCTGAAGAGTCCAAGTACACTGGCAATAGTGATGATGTGGCCATGATTATTGGCCTTCATCTGAGGGAGGAACGCCTTGACAGTCTACATGCAGACAAACAAAATAAAGCAGTTTGATATAGTTATACCCTTAAAGTGCCCCTGTGCTATTTTAAAGGTTCCTATATTTGTTTTGGAGGTCTCCTACAATAGGTTTACGTGCATCCAAGGCCAAACATTTTTTTTTTTATTTTCTCATAATACACATTGCAACATCACCCATTTTCTGACAGTGTCTGAAACATTGAGATTCAAAATCCTCCTTTCCAAGAGCCTACTTTGTTCTGATTGGCCGACTGCTTACATTTCCACACTGTAAAAAAATCTTTTCAGGATTAGCAATCACAACATTTTTTCTTTTGTCAAATCAACTTAAATTATTTATTTAGTTCGGATAACAAATCATTTTGAGTTTCTGATGATTAAATCATTCTCCTTCATTGTCTTAACTCACTTTTTCAATTTCAAAGAACTTAAATTTTAAGGCAATTTTAAGACAGGTTATTTATTTTTTAAGTTAAACCAACAACATTTTTTTTTTTTTTTTACAGTGATCTTAATTTCAGCTCCGAAGGCTTGCTCAGCTCTTAATACACAGTGTATTTACGCCGGTTTTAACATATTTAATAGCCGAAGTAAGTCCTCATCCATTGGAAGTGCATGCAAAGTGAATTTGCTTTCATAGTGCAGAAAATAGCGTCTTTTCGACATGTCAGGCCTCAGTTACAACTACAGTGTTTGAGGGCAATTCAAAGTAGATGTTGTTCGCAAGCAGCCAATGAAGACCATAGGCTGGAAGGAATTATGCTAATTTATTCCAACCTACGTAGGTTTGTACAGGAAGTGTTTACTTGCGACTCGTTTCAGGCAGTTCAGAATCGGTTCTTACTTTTGATAGACAATACTCCTGCAGACCTTTCACAAACAGCTATATTACACACTACATGAAAGTTATAGGCTTATATCCCGAAAAAGCACAATAGGGGGACTTTAAAATGAAACTTCTGTCATTCTAAACTCACATACTGTTCATTTTTCTGTTGAACACAAACTGAGAATTCTAGAAGAATCTTCATGCAGCTCATGAAAGAAAAACAGCACAATGAAAGTAGTCCACATTCGCTTTATTCTACGTCTTCTGAAGACATACGGTTGCTTTGTGTGAGGAAGAGATTGAAATGTATGTTGTTATTCACTGATAATCCTCCCCACGGGCAAAGTTCGGAAATCTCATTTGGTTTGGTAAGAATTAAGATTTCTCAGACATTCAGTTATATATCACAATCAAAAGCATATGAATGAGAATGAGATTTCAGAGCTTTGGCAGAGGGTTTTTGGTTTTGGATTTTGAGAGCCATGATGATAATGAATAGTTGCATGAAGGTACTTCTTCTTCAGAAAAAAAGACTGAAGTTTTCATTTAATAAATATATAAGCTGTGATCTTTCACAGACCAAACTCACTACCATTTTCAATGTACTAACAAAAAAGTAACACCAAGGATGTTTAGAAATGTAATGGTATATGTACTTGAATAAGGTGATCATTGGTTTAAATGGTAGCACATGGTGCTAAAATCCTTATCCTAACAAATACTCAAATTGGCGAACATGATCAAATAAAATGTAGATGCACTGTAAGCTGCCTTGGAGTAGTGTGCCTATTGAATACATCTAAATGCAAAGAACCACAGCATCACATCACTGGTTTCCAGTGCACGCATCAGCTCAATGTTAACGAGTAGGCTGCTAAAAGATTGCTCAATGTAAGCATTAATCCACTTCATATATGGTCACGGTTATTTGCATTAGGAGGATCAGAGTGAGACTTTTTCTTGGGAAGATTATATTTTATCAGAGAAGGGCTGTAAATAAAGCTAAAGGGGTAAAATCAGGTAATTCCCACATCACACATTCTATGCATATCAAGTAATACAAAGGCAAAGCAGCTTTATTTAATTCTAATCCATTTATTATATTTGTCAAACTTTGGCATGTATGCGGAATGTAATTCATTATTGTGCAAGGTGTTCACGTAGCATTGTACTATAATTCTCAGCTTAGAAGATTCATTAAGGTTGAGTCTTTGATTTGTTTTATGCTATGCATTTTTATTTCTTCAAAGTCTATTGAGTTGGTTTTTTGTCACTCATTACATTAACATTTAAGCAAATCCAAAGACCTTGATATCTTGATCTTAGTGTTTTCTAGAGCCATGTTTTACTGTTAGGCTACAAGGAAATTATAGGCCTACTGTAATTATTATTATTATTGAAATAGTCTATACTTTATAAAAATGAAGATAAACATATTTTGGTCACTCTCAGGTTGTCTTTTGGTAATTTAGACTAAGGATTTGTCCCAAAACTTACTGACTATCATACAATTTACAGCAATTTAAAATGCCATTTTAAAAAGGGGGAAAAAGGCCATTAAAAAAAAAAACACATTGGGACCAGGAAGATCATTGCAAAAACAGGTCGTTTTGAGATCATTTGTTTGAACTTTGAGGGTACCATGTTTTATACTTTACTTCAAACTTACAATCTTACCCAGAAGAGGGCGTGGCAGTTTACTTTCAGTGTCCTCTCCACCATGGTATCTGGGCAGTCCAGGAGTCTCTCACCGGCCACCACCCCGGCATTATTCACCAAGTAGGTCACATCCCGTCCCACATCCTTCCGTACCTGTTCGGCAGTGCGGTACACTTCTTCTCGGTTTGTCACATCCACCGTGTACCCGTGTGCCTGGCCCCCTTGCGCCCTCACCATCTTGGCTGTCTCCTCATTAGCGTCTCCGTTGATGTCCCACAGCACCACTTCTGCGCCGTGTTTCGAGAACTCCAGGGCGAACAGGCGGCCCAGTGCTCCCCCAGAGCCGGTGATCAACACCAACTCGCCGTCTATGGGCTTCGTACGTGGTCTCAGCACGATGCGCAGACAAGAGCGCAGGATGAAGAACACAATGTCCAGCATCATCATCTGTAAATCCATTAGGAAGATCATGGTGCCCAAGTTTGTTTGAGGGAGTGAGTGAGACAGCCAAGCTTGTTACTGAACTAGCCATGCCTTTCCCTCAGAGGCTGTTTAAATAGGCCTGATACCGTCCTCAGGATTAGGGAAAAATACCTTAGCCACTAATTAAAATGCGCTTTGAGAAAAGGCCTTCAAGACGGACGGTGCCCTAAGGGAACACGGTGATGGAAAAAGATGCTATGCTCGCAAAAATCCTCTGAGAACATTTGCCTTCTCTTGCAAAATGCAATATAATACACCTTGAGCTGTCACTGATTATTTAGGTAATCGAGCAATCGGCTGATTATTTTGAAGATTATTCAAGTAATTGTTTTTTTTTTTGTGGTAATAAGATACAAACCAAAGACCTAGCATTTAAAATTATTTAAAATACTTATAGTAACAATGAGGTATGCATGTTTGGTTGAAATAAACTATCAAAAGCAAGTAATCATGGTTTCATACAACACAAATAATATAGCTTACATAAAATAAACAATCATCTTATGTGCATGGCCTACATTATGTATTATGACAAATGCATGCAGCATCACACAGCAAACAGCATGCAGAGATGGAGTTCGAGACACGCTCCACGCAATGGTAGTTCGTGTGGAGGAACATTTACTGTGAATGGAGCCAGTAAAGATGCCACTCAATCTGCTGAGATGCCAGTAAATCACCTGCATGTAAATCGCATTAAACGCATGGGGCATATGCCTTTGTGAATTCACAATAACATATGATAGTATTGTTTTTAAATTGTTTTAATACATCATGTAGCCTTAGAAAATGGTCTAATAATGTGGTTTATCGATTCTTGTTGGCTTACATTCCAGACAGCAACATTGTGTCTGCCCAGATCCGGCCCACATCTGGTACACGTGGAAATTGAATCCACAAGTACCAGGTGTGGGCCGGATCTGGGCGGACAGACACTATTGCTGTCTGGGGTGGAATTCACCAGAGTGTCTAGCCTACTGTATGCCTACAATACTGTGCACAGCCATTATAAAATTATATAATGAAAATAATCTGATTCTGAATATGTTGAAGCAGAAGAGTGGTGCTGTTCCGCTTCTATAAATCCATAGCAATTGTCACAATGCAAGTTTGGCAATGACTAGTTTGAATGGACTATAAATCTCAGCATTGGTAAAGATTACATCAACCTCTAAACACTATGAAAAGAAAACCCACATTCGCACATATTTATTGTCCCCACTAATCAAATCAAACTTTGATTTGACCTTAGCTGCAAAGCATGCTGGATGGGTAACCAGAAGTGCCACAATTTTAATTGTTGATAATGTGATCTCATACTGTATACTGAAAAAGCTACACTAACATATAATGGGCATCATTGAGTTCCCTGAACAACTAACAAATAATCCACTGTGGACATTTGAAAACCACAACTGATATATTACCCCTAGCTTTTACTGACTCTGAACAAAAATGAATTTTAGTAACCGACAATCTTTTATTATTTACAGAATCATATGGGAAGTGTTTGTGCCATAAGGAGATTATTTGTGTGTTAATCTGTGTTGTTAATGCATTTGTAAGGCAATGCAATTCTTGCATGTTTTGAACAGTGTAGTCTTGTTTAGTTAGGGACAAAGCACTAGTCATATGGATCAAAGGTCTCCTCCAGGCATTACACGCTTTCAATCAACTTTACCTCACTTTTCAAATTTGCAAATGTCAAATTAACTTATTTTAATGATATTTGCATGGTTATATCACATTAACATACTTTATTCACACATATAGGCCTACACAAAGAAAAAACAGTGATGGGTTAACATTACAAACAACGTGAGTAACATAATCAGATTACCTTCAAGTAGCCTACTATAAAGTAACGCATTAGCCTACTTACAGATTTATAACCAAATACTAGTTTTTCCAATTAAGTAACACAAGTTACTTTGTTGTTCCATTTATTGACTGGCACTTCTGTCCCCCATGTTGAAAGAAATCGTGAGTAGGCTATATTGACAGTAAAACCATTTGAATCAAAAACTTAAAGCATTAACAATTTTAGCATTTTTATAGGCCTATAGAAAACAATATACATTGTGTTTGGCGGTGACGGAACAATCTGAAAGCCGTCTGTCATTTTTTTTTTTACAGATCTATTCTACACCGAGGGTGATCTGGTTGCAACTTGTAACTGTAATTCTCACCCCTGTCCACTAGTTTGCGAGGGCGCTCTTTCTAACCAACGTTAATGGTGAACAAAATTTTGGCTTTTCTGAGTTACCGTACATGACATTGTTTACAAGCTGTTTTATTGGTTGAAACACTGATTGAGAGATTACATGAGAGACATTATACAGATTTCGGTAAGTTGAACTGTATTCACCATATTTTCTGAAATTCATTCATGTTTATTTCGGTGTATAACAAAGAGTAAGGTCGCGTTCACTTTCCTCTTGAAACGAGGCGCGAGTGATCTCTCACGCCACGTCAAAGAGCGGCAAAACGGTATTTTTTGGTGAACGGTGAACAGAATTCGAAAGCTGAGATTTTGTTTCATATAAGTAACAAAGCACAAAGCTTATTGCGAATATATTGGCAAACATTGATGATATCACCTGAAAAAGTGACCCACTGTTTCAACTTTCCTCTGTAACGTTTACGTTACATTTCCTTCAGCCGGCTTATTTATTTCACTTATGGCGTGAAAGGGCCTTTACATTCGCCAAAAATGTTATATATATATGAAGAGTTCAGATGCAAAAGCCTCTAAGTGCCATTTGAAATTTTCTTCTAGAATGATCATTTTTATCAAGCTTGTAAGTTCAGTGATTTCACTTAAATGGCAATGATAACTATTAATTGTTATTTAAGTGAAATTACTAAACTTAAATATATAACTTTGATAAAAATCATCATTAAAAAAAGAAAATTTCAAATGGCACTTCGAGGCTTTTGCATCTGAACTCTTCATATATAGGCCTACTCTAAAATTTTGAAGCACAAAGTACTTAGACTAACCAAGTACTTGGACCAAGACTATAAATTAATTAAACTTGAGACAAAAAAGCCCAGTGGAACTCTAAACATAATGTGTATATGTGCAAAAGTTTCAGAACATCAAAGCTCCCTTTTTATTTTTACACACACACACACACACCATATGCACTTGCATGTGCCCATTTACCTCACATAACATTTAAGTCCCTCTTTCTGTCTTTGCATATGAGTCATGGGAATGTGTATATTTGAGGCCCTGCCTTACAGCAGTGCCTATGGTATTGTTCTTTCTGCATGAATAGCCTCTAGCTACAGGAATTAATGTAATCCTCCCTTTTCACGTGTTTCAGCATCAATGGGCAATACTGGCCAGCTAAGGAAACATTGAAGAGACTCCTCAAACATAAAATCAAAACCAACTACTGTATATCCTTGAACTTATGCAAACTGTTAGGTAATCCATTACCTGCAATCTTTATCATTTACACAGGCCATTATTTTTGAAATTTGAAATGTGCATAAAAAAGATCAGTACACATTCTTCACATTCAGAAGAAAGCCAATCATGTGGGTTTGAAATGGCATGTAAATCATGACTTTTAGATGAACTAATCCTCTTATTTTGCTGCAATTCGTGAAGACGCGAGTGTCCTCAAGAGACTTTATAATGAGTTTAACAACCTCTGACTGAGCGAAATATGTCACCTAAAACAGGCTGGGTAAATGTCACATGATAGAAGTCAATTACATGCATGAGTTCCTCAGATGAGGGGAGCAACATTCAGGCCGCTTATTATCATGTCAGCGTGCAGCTCCAGACGCTCATGGATGCTTTCCTACCTCGTTCTGCTGGTAATACTGGTGTCCCAGAGCGAAGGAGGTTGTCAGGATACGGGACTTTGTTGCTTTGGACAAAACCAGTCATGTATTACTGAAGACTGGAGGAAAGATCGCTCCTATGGGAAATGTTACTGCGACCAGGCATGCAAGACGACATTGGACTGTTGTCACGACTATGACCTTGCTTGTCCAGGTTTCTAGAATTTCATATTTTTCAGATGCCATGTGTTAAAATTATAAAACAAATTCAGGCTGCTATAGGCCATGTCTGTGAGGCCAAATTTCATCTACAGCATCTTGAACAATTTTAACATCAAATTTTATATGAAAATAAAATATTGTGTGCAATATATTTTCATTATGCTGCTTGATAAATTCAATTTTATATATATTTTTTAATGTATTGTCGTAATTATAAACACACCGTCTTGTAGTGCAAATAGATTTATCATTTACTGCACTTCGTTATTATTGACTTAAAATTATTTTCATGATTTATCACAATATTTGTTCTTTTGTCAAATCAACTTAGATAATTTATGTGGTTTAGATAACATGAGTTTCTGTTGATTAAATCTCCATCATATTAACTTAAATTTCAAATGTCAATGAATAATTTTAAGGAACCAGGTTATCAACTTTTTTAAGTTTAACCAACAATCATTTGGTGAATGAATAGGAAGTCTTACAAAAAATTGCTTACCTTTGCATTGCAAAATGTTTTTATATAAATAATTTAGATGAATGCATCAGGGATGTGCTGTAACTGTATTTAAAACACTGCAGGGTTGGAAAAAGTTTTCAAACATCTGTTAGTGCAGAATGTTTTTTGATCCTGTCACATTGTCATGTGTATGGCTCACTTAAAAACTACACTGGAGAGAGTAAACCTCATTTCACATGCAAAGAAGCCTTAAAGGCACGGCAACGACAGCAGCCTGCTTAGTTTGAAGTTTTAAAGTGAGGGTGGAAAATGGTCATCCTCGACAACAGGGAACGTCATCAGAACTTTGGCTAAAGTTTAAGCAAAGTTCTCTTACATTTTTGAACAACATGTCTTCCATTAACATTGATAGTACATTTGTTGTAAGTTATATGCACAGTCTTTAAAGGGATAGTTCACTTTGAAATTACATTTTGGTATGTCTTAGCTTACCTCAAGGGCATCCAAGATGTAGGTCTTTGTTTCCGCTGTAGTTTCAATTTTGATATTTTTAGGTCAAACCATTCGTGTCTATCAGTCATATAATGGAGGTCTATGGTCACCACCTCAAAGAGCATGCACAGAGAAGTCCAAATTAAACAGATTTAATGACTCGTAAATGTAAGTACACATTGATGGCCTAAGACACGAAACGAGCGGTTTGTGTGAGAAAACGAACAGTATTTATATACTTTTTACCACTTATAACCACAGCCACGTGCAAGTGATCTGAGGGCGCGGGCACTTTGTGACTGTGGTTACAAGAGGTAAAAACGATATAAATACTGTTTGTTTTCTCACACAAACCGCTCGTTTTGTGTCTTAGGCCATCAATGTGTCCAGTACTTACATTTACGAGTCATTAAATCATGTTTAATTTGGACTTCTCTGTGCATGCTCTTTGAGGTGGTGACCATAGATCTGCATTATATGTCTGACAGACAAGAGCAGTGGAAACAAAGACGCCTACATCTTGGATGCCCTTGAGGTAAGCTAAAACATACCAAAAATGAATTTGTAAGTAAACCATCCCTTTAATAATGTTCTTAAAAGTTTATCACAAAAACAGTGTTTATGCCACATACTTAATGGGAATGCTAGCAAAACGTTCTAAGAATATATTTGGTCTGCTGAGAATCTGACACATCATGTGTGTGTTTTAGCCGTATCCTGTGTGGTGAGTGAATGGAGCGTGTGGTCAGGCTGTCTGGAGCTGTGTAAAGCCACACTTCGCACCAGGTGGAGGCAGGTGATTCAGGAAGCACATAATGGAGGCGAACCCTGTCCCGCTCTACATCAGACCGCAGGCTGCGCAGAGTACCATGATCAACACGGCCCCTGCCTGCAGTCACTGGGTATGGTAATCTATAGCTCTGTGAAATATCCTTTGCCATCCTTCAACACAAATGTCAAATTTAATAATCAACAGTGGATAATATCTTAGGTTTGAGGTCATTAGATCCATAATAAAAGCAACTGGTTGTAATGATTTATACAGCCATTATTTTTCCATTGAATTGTTATTCTTGGATGGACTCCATGGTACACACTACATCCCATTTATCTTATATAATTACATTATCAGTACATAGCCTGTTTCTGAGTGTAATCAAATGATGAACTGTAATCATCATTATCAGTACATATGCTCTAAGCACTAAAGCAACAATCTAAATGCCACCTTTTACCCTGAACATCTGTGGATAGTACATGAATGAGCTTTTGAAAATGACTTGTACCTTTTTATGAGACTGCAGGTGGAAGTTTGAGGGCAAATATGCATTCAAATCCCTCTTTCATAATCTTGACCTACTCCTTTGTCTCATTATTTTACAGTCCCAGCTCTCATCACCACGGGTGGCTATGGAAATGCACGGAAAAAGAGGGAGATTTTTGACAACAACATCACAAGGTAAGATCTGACAGTTCAACACTAAATTGTAACAAGAAGTTGAATGGTGGTAAACATCTAGTACACATACCCTGACAATACAACATTTATTTGTATATAATGACATGTACCATTGTAGCAACATAGTTGTCTTTGATAAGTGCATACAGTAATGTTTAAAAGTGTGTGAACGGTAAGACTTTAATGTTTTTGAATGAAGTCACTTGTGCTTACTAAGGTTGCATTTATTTGATCAAAAATACAATACAAAACAGTAATGATGTGAAATATTATTACAATTTATAATGTTTCTATTTGAATATATGGTAAGACTGTTTTAAATACTGCGTAATATTAATCTACAACATTTACTTACTATAGAATTACAGTTAGGGTTTGCTTTATGCTTAGTTACTTGTAATTATGCATAATTTACTTTTATTACTATAGTGAGTACACGTTGTATCGTGTAACTGTCATTAAAATAAAGTGTAACCGAATATTTTTTATTTTGATGTCTAAGCTGAATTTTCAGTAGCCAATACTCCAGTCTTCAGTGTCACATGATCCTTCAGAAATGATTGTAAAAATACTGATTTATTGGATCCTTACTGAATGAAAGTATTAATTTCTTTCAAATAAAAAATAATCTTACTGACCCCATTTTCAACGGTAGTGTGTATTCAACGGTGTCTGTATGTGCACGTCTTAGTTACTGTGTGGAGTTTGAACTGGCGTCCCTGTCGGCGGGTTGTCAACGCAGCTTCAGTCCTCACACACGTTGGATGCGGTACCTGAAAGAGGGGCATCAGGTGTGTGTGGAGTGCCAGCCACCAGCACTGGCCCAGGGTCAACGCTACTGCTCCGGGGACGGGGAGAACATGGGACAGGACAGGTAAGAGGAGAAAGATCTGGATATTTTTTTTTAGATTCCTGGCACAATAATATAGACACTCTCCATAGTGTATCCCCTGGTTTCACATAGGCTACAAGGCTCAACCCTAGTCCCAGATTAAAATGCATGTTTCAGCAGTTTCAACTGAAAGCAGCTTGCCATTGTTTTGTCTCAAGATGCACACTAGTAATGTTTTTTTTTTTTTAATAAGGCATGTTTATAAAAGCTACTTAAATGTCCTAATTGAACTAAGGCCTAATACTGGTTTAATCTAAGTCATGTTTGTGAAACCAGGCCTATAACATACAGTACCCTAGTAAAAAAATAATTTACCAAAATGTATTTGAAATACATTTTGTAGTATCCTCCTCCAAATACATTTACATATTTATGTAATTAATATAAAAACCCTGCAATTGTACTTTTAGTATACTAAATTTGTATTCTTAAAGTCTGCTAAATTTGGAACAACTAATTTTGTACGTAATGCACTTTTGTTCTTTGGTAGTAGTGCTGAGGTCCAACTAAATGCATGCTTAGTATATTTGATTGTGCTAAAGTCACTTTATGTACACTTTAAATCTTGCATTTAAAGACTGAAATTATTCAGAGATCATACTATCCTTATTAATATCGATATTAAAACACATTTTAAAAAATGTGCATTGTGCAATAAAGAAGGTACTCCAAATAAAGTTTAATTATAATATTTATATTAGTAAATCTTAAGCGATGTCAAAAATGTACTATGAAATAAATGTTATTTAAATATTTTTGGCGCAGGATTTTTTCAACTTGGGCAATCATTGGAATAAATGTTAAAATACACATTATTTCAAAAGGATAGCCACGGGACTAATGTGATGAAATGAATCTTCTCATAGAGTGAGAACAAAAACAAAAGCCCACAGGAATCGCCAGAAGCAAACTCCCACTGCAAATGTAGGATTTAGACATCCAAAATTCTCAAAGAACACACTATTATGAATGAAAGAATGAATAAACACTATCATTAAATTGCTTATACTCACCAAAGCTGCATTTATTTTAATCAAAACTACTGAAATAGAGTAATATTGTGAAATATGACTACAATTTAAAATGGCTGTTTTCTATTTTAATATACTTGAAATCTTTTGTAACATCTTTACTGTTAAAGATGTACACTTTTCATCCATTTAATGAATGCTGAATGAAAATCTAAATCTGTACATTACTTGAGCTGTAAAGCTCTAGCTTTAAATCATTATGATTCCATAACAAAAAACAACAAAAAAGCTAAAAAATAATTTCATATGGTCTTGATACTAGGTCTTGGCCACTAGAGGGAACCATGAGACATATTTAAATATGTAGCTTTTGTATAAAACATCTTGCACTGGTTTAATGCCCTCATGACAGTCTTGTGCACTCATTTGGAGCACTCTAGAGCCTTATGTTTCTTTGATAAAAAGAGAGCAATTGCCTGTTTAATCTAGCCCTAATGATGCTGGGATTCTGTTTTTATATAGTATTCATAACCAACACATAAAATGCAAGCCTTATCCTTTTAAGTACAGTTGAAACTCTTAACCTAGCTCAAGGACATCATCAGCCAGAGCAACACCTATCACTCTATCTGTCTTCCACTATCATCTCTTTCCATCACATTCTCACTCTCTCACTCTCAGGAGGCTGTCTCTGCAATGGCGGGCCGTGGGGAATTCTCAGTGCAAAGGGGTGTGGAGACGAGTCCGTCGACGAGACTCCTGTTTCTGTCCCACTGTACACAGTTTTCTCTTCATCTAACATTTTAACCGGGTCATGAAACTTAAAAAAAAGTGATAGAATATGCAGAGACCGTTTGGGTAACTCAAAGCAGCTCTAGGCTTGTAATCCTAATGATACAGTTGATTAAAGTACGTTATCAAGAACAGGTTCAATATTAGTCACAGATAATTCACATTTCCGCATAAAAGACTCCTTACTAATGCGTGCGCCCGTTATATGCGTTTTAAGAAGTAATTCTCCAATGCCTGAATTAAAAACTGTGAGTGTGAGATAAGTTTCCAAAAGCATTTTGGGGCCTTAGGGCTCCTCCATTTGAAATCATGTGTTTAAACTCTAATAACAACACTAAATAATAGGTAAAATTAATAATCTGTATCATTTATTTGATTTCCAGCCAACCAAGGGGGGAGGGGGATATCTCTTCTTCATACTGCAAAGAAATCTAAAGATTTCAGGACATTTTGACACATTTTTGGCTCTTTTTCCTATATTAGACAAGGAATTGGCTTTTTCGTCACATACAGAACAAGTTACAGCTTCAGAGGTACGACATGCATTAAACAACATAACACACGTACAGAAACAACGGCATAGAAAGTCAACAGGTAGAAAGATTACAAAACAAACAGCCTTTAGACCTACAAACAACATTGTAGAAGATTTAGGGGAGGGAGGGATTGTAAACAGTGCTCTCTTTTTTTTTTAAAGTTCCCTGGAAATTCTATGTGGATGCTTACAGTAATTTCTTTTCATCGTGAAATGCTTCCTAAACTTCAAACTACTGGTTACCACTGTTATTGTACAATTTCATTAGAAAACAACAAAAATCAAATAAAAGAAAAATGTTACTTATTTGTGCTTTCTGATTTGAATGAAATACACAAATCATAAAAAACCCCTCTGAATTAAAAAGTCAAAGTGCCTGTTATATAATGCCTGTTCCTGTAAATCTAACATAAACATAAAACATTTTATTTTCAAACAGCGTCCATGTTGATGCTGGAAACATCACTAGGTCGTCACAGTTTGACAAATTTTAATTTAAAGGATTTTATAAATGTACCATGATGAATTGTAACCTGCACTGTCGTTGGGGTGGGTATTCTAGACAAAACACCTTTAATGCCATCAAACCATCCAATAAGACACTGACATTGTACTCAAATTACTGATTGTCATCACTGTTTTTAGACTGGAGTCAAAAAATATCCCCCAAAATAATCACCCATATATAATTCGCTCTAATCTTTGTTGATGCTCTAAGCACACTGCACTGCAAGTGTTCCCTATGGGACGTTACAGAATGACATCTGCGGAACAATAAAACAACATATGCTAATCTCTGACATCTCCGATTAAGCAATTAACATGGACTATATGGTGGTGAATCTCACAAAACATGTCAGGAATATGTCTGGGCTGTATTTCAACAGAAAAAAAATATTACATCTTGCATAAAGCAAATTAAACCTATTTCAAGAGCAAGTTTTTTACAAAATTCCCCCATTATATATATATATATATATATATGAAGAGTTCAGATGCAAAAGCCTCTAAATGCCATTTGAAATTTTCTTCTTTAATGATGATTTTTATCAAACTTGTATATTTAAGTTCAGTAATTTCACTTAAATAACATTTAATAGGTAATTATCATTGCCATTTAAGTGAAATTACTGAACTTAAATATACAAATTTGATAAAAAAAATCATCATTAAAGAAGAAAATTTCAAATGGCATTTAGAGGCTTTTGCATCTGAACTCTTCATATATATTGGGGTGAAATGCATGACATTATTTTAAAGAAAATACACATTTTCTTTAGATTTTTGGGTTAAATATTCCAGACATTTCTTTGTGAGATTTACACATGGATTATTAAAAAAAAACAGGGTTGACATTGATCTCAGGGCACAGCCTAACACAGATACACAGCAAAGAGAGTTTTGAATGGCTTCAGTAAGGTCACATTTTAGTGATAATGTTCTCTCAGTATGAATCTACTGAATGAATAGGGTATTGAATGTGGATCACACACCCGACAGATCATGGATATTATATAATATCCACATAAAAGACCACAAATGGAGCAAGGGTCCTTAGCACTCAGAAAGCAGATTCCTCTCCACACCATTACAGTAAGCAGAACTGCATCGTTGCATTCATAAATTATTCTGTATAGAGCAGAGAGGGAAGATCCCTCTCACTTGCAGTTTTTTCTCTGCTCTCATACACACACCCCTCCCGCTCTCTTGCAGAAAATTGGTATTCCGTTCACACCCCACTTCAACTCGGCTAAAATCGTTGATACAGGGATGGAAGCATACACACACTCACAAGTCTCGGTAGAGGCCGAGTTTCCCCCCCATCATCTTTGCACTCCCCAGATAACACATACATATTCTAAGAGACAAGTACATTCTGACTTTGTGACTTTTAATAATGGAACAGATGCAATTGAGTATGTTTTTTTAGTCTAATTTAGCCCTCTCTATCCCAGTTTTCAAATTCAATATGAGCGCTAGAAGGGAGGGCTTGTGGTCACCATGGAAACTGGAAATAGTCGTCTTCAGGACATTGTCTACATACCTGTGAATACATGCTGGACTATGTGGTTACAAATTGGTGAGGATGGCTGCGATGGCGATAAGAATCAAATCTTTCAAGGATATTAAGTTTGTGCTGTGTAAAGGGATTGTATCAAATTTGGAGATAAACATTGCCATGCGTTATATACTTTATTACAGAGCTCGCTATCAAAAGATAAATGTTTGGGATTAAGTGGTGGTCATCTTGGTCACATTGTTTATGTTGAGCCTGAGGACAAAAAAGGTCCCATAAAACCTTGTATTAAATCAAATATTTTAAAATAAACACTCTCCCTGGCAATGCAAAAGTATGAGACCATCTATCCCTCATTTGACATGATCATCTAGAAAATACTTTAGAAATATATATTTATTCTTGTATTCAGAAATGTTTGTGTTTGAACAGTATCCACTGATATGAGATTGGTAAATCTAACTGAAATCTTGAATTGACCTGAAGTTTTTCAGTAGTTTCTTTGTCAGATTCATTCTAGCTTTCCATCGCAGGACGAGGTATGTGTTGTCCATTCGTTCTCAATGTTGCTTCTGTTTGGGCTGCCAATGTGCATGTGCTACGTAGTTGTAATATGAAATCATAAACATGGGCTTTTGTAATAAAACCTTACACATGTAAGCACAAGTGTATCTTCGGTAACTTTCTTAAAAAGGTATAGTTAACTTACACAGAAAATTTTGTCATCATTTACTCACCCTCATATTGTTCCAAACTTGTATGCATTTGTTTCATCTGTGGCTACCCAATGCCCCCCCAAAATATATTATTTTGTGTCACCAGAATGAAATGTGGGAGACTAAACAATGACAGAATTTTCAGTTTTTGGTGAACTATCCCCCTTAAGCTTTGCCATACTAGAAAAAAAAGATGACACACTAGTAGGTACATGAGGGGAGGTAAATTTAAACTGATTTTGGTCTCTTCCAATTAAACAATTGACATTTTTTTTTTATCATACTGATGAATACGACACAAGAAATATGTGGGATAGATTTCTATAGATAATCTTCATGTCTATATAAAAATAAATAAATCAAGTAGAATCACACAGGATGTGAATATATTTTGAAGAGTGAGTGAGCTTTGTTAGAAGGAATGTTGGTTGTTATATACGTGCACATTATCATACCATCAGCCCTCCCTATATCAAATATGCTTGCACACAAAACACTCATACTGTATGCAGACCCATAACTGCAGTTAAGTAAGGCCAGTTAATTAGGGGATAGGGGAGGGGTGCACTAGTAAACAGGGTATAACATGTCTCTAATGCTAATTTTTAAGGTGGGCTGTGGACAGTGGCTAGCTGACGTGGGCAGTGATGGACTGTCCCCCTTGATTTACCATACACACCTGGGCTTAAATGTCTGGTAAGTTTTCAGCCTCAAGCTATTTAAGCTTTAGCATAAATCCTGTTCTTTTCACAAACAAACCTATAGGCCAGATCCGCTCAGCCTTTATCTTACGCCTGTGATGCGCCAATGCAGGCTTGTTTACAGAAGAGGAAAAAGGGCAAGAGGTGTAGGCAGTGGTGCATCTTCAAGATCCTGTCCCTTAATGATGTAACATGACCACGGTTTTCCAGTTAACTCTCCCGCATAAAGTCACCAGGGTAGGCCCCCTGGTCAGATGCCTGCACAATTAATCTCCATTGTACATTAGTCTCCGCTTTCTCTAAAGTCATTTACTGAACTTGGCCTTTTTTCCTCTTCAATTTTCTTTCTTTCCGCGTTGTCCAACTCACCACCCTGAGGCCTCAGAGGCCCTTATCAAAAGCGTTGGAATGTCCCCTGTCCCCTTTGGGCCTCCGTGAGTTCTCTGAAACCACATGGTTCTCATGGCTAACACTTGGGCTACTTCCCAGCGGAAATATGCAGTTCTGACCTAGCAGCCTTTGGGCAGCTTCCAAGTGGTTGGTGCCCCCCTGGTAACCACTAATTCGAGGCTTGGAGCTGAGGCCCCCAAGCAGGTGCTCTGATGGGCCACCCTCACGCAAGTGCTCCTCGTCATCTGTGTCGGCATCGATGTACTTGCTAATGGATGCATCATGGAAAGTAAAAACTGCAGGGGTCAGTGCCTTCCTCTCTGGTGTCTTAGGTGGAGTCCTGCTGCTGGCTGTTGTGTAGACTGACACCTCTGGGCTTAGGATGGAGAGGTCAGAAAGAATAGAGCTGTCAGACAGAGGACCACCAGATGGACTGGTCTCGCCACAATTGCGATGATTCACCCTAACCGCATGCATTTTCTGAGAGTTTATTAGCAGAACTTGTTGCCGCGAACCATCGGTGTTGAGAGGTTTAGCACCAGAACAAGGTGGTGTGAGCATGGTATCATGCTCCAGTGTGGTCTGCAGGCTTGGATTAGCACTGACTCGACCAGTGAGGCCAGAACCAGGACTGTGGGAGAACCGAGAGCTCTCTGGGAGTGACAGACCCCCTGCTGGACTGTAGGGGAATCGTGGGTTCTCTTGGAAGTCTGTTGCACAGCTGATATAACTGTCAATGCTTGACAGACTTTTCATGTCTACCACCCCTTCACGACCCCCATTCAGTGGGTCGCCTCCTTGACCTGGCAAGGCTCCCAGCTCAATTTCATCCCTTCTATGACCTGCTCGAGATACATTTTTGTCTTTGGTGTTCAGGTTGGGCTGTGACTGAGTCTTTGCCATCTGGTTGTACATCTCTTCTAGTTTCTGTGCATTAAGCCTCTGTGGACTAGAAGCTCCCGCCTTGCTTGGTGAACCTTGGTCTGGGTTGAACGAATGATTGGAACTGGTCTCTGAAGTTGCCCTCTTAGAGGACCATTTCCATCGACTGGGTGAGAGATGGTTGTCATGGGTTCTCTCACCCTTGTCCATGACCACCACATCCAGAAGCTCTGCACCACGGTTAAACGCCTCTCTAACATTCATGGACACTATGCTGCCATTGCGTTTGGCTCGCTCTAGAGCCTCACGTCTCTTGATGGCCTTCTCTTGCCGTTTCTGTTCCTTGTAGAATTCAGAAAAGTTGTTGACAATGATAGGAATGGGTAGGGCAATGACTAAAACTCCTGCTATGCAGCAAAGCCCACCAACAATCTTACCCAGAAGTGTCTTAGGGTAAATGTCTCCATATCCCACAGTGGTCATGGTGATAGTGGCCCACCAGAAGGAGGCAGGGATGCTCTTGAACTTGGTGTCATCCTCGTCCTTCTCCGCAAAGAAAACCAGACTGGAAAATATCATGATCCCCATTGCTAAGAAGAGGATAAGTAGGCCCAGCTCATTGTAACTCCGGCGTAGTGTAAAGCCCAGTGACTGCAACCCGGTGGAATGACGTGCCAATTTGAGTATGCGCAAAATCCGCATGATTCTAAAGATTTGCACCACCCGTCGTACATTCTGGAATTGCAGCACACTCTTATTGGACTCTGTCAGGAATATGGTTACATAATATGGTAGAATGGCCAGCAAGTCGATGACATTGAGAGGACCTTTAAAGAATTTCCATTTGTTTGGTGAGGAAAGGAAGCGAAGAAGATATTCCATGGTGAACCAAGCGATGCACACAGCCTCCACATGGGCCAGCTGGGGATTATCAGTTGTCTGACCAAACTCGTCTGTGTCTTGCAGCTCTGGAAGGGTGTTAAGAGACAAAGCGATAGTTGAGAGCACAATGAATAGGATAGAAATGATGGCCAAGATCTGAAAGACAAAAAAGCAAACAAAAATGCACTATTAAAAACAAGAAATACCTTCATAGTAAAGAAATACTGAGATTTGTGTCTCAACACCTAAAAGAAAAAACATTGTATTTATAATGTATACAATAGATAGTACATATACAATATATAGTGTATAGTGTAACAATGCCACTAAGGAGATTCTTCTTTAATTTATACATGTAGGGTCTAGGTAAATCAAAGCAACTGACAATACATGTTTTTTCTTTGTGACTATGAGCAGGATGTTATACCACCGTTGTGATTTGTAGAAAACTTTGTTGAAGAATGCTTTACACCATAAAACACAGCCCTGTGCTAAACAAGTTGTTGACTACATTGTCAGTCAAATCATTTACATAAAATCAAGGTCTTTTTACTTACTTCTGAGCAGTCGAACAGCTACACTGAATGCCAGGATATTGCATAATAATACTGGCTTTACCTGTGATGTTAGGTCAAGAAAGCCGTTTAAAGTAGTAATACTGAGAGGGTTGAACATTATTGAGAAGTACAGAAATGTTGTGAAACACTGAATAACCAGTAAAACCAGAATACTGGTTAGTAGACAAATCCACAACACAGAAAATCTTGACATAGCTTTTTGAGTAAAATCATACTAAAACTAAACTCCTAGTAATTAAATCACTCAGTTCATTAATAAACAGAACTAGTAGCAACTAAAACAACTAAATTGGGTGAAGTATTTAATTTTCTAGCAATTGAAATAACAAAGAGGACTTTGAAAACATAAGATAAGATCTGTCCTGCTGTCTAAACACAAAAAAGTTCCCTGTGAAAGTTTCCAGAAAGAAAAAAAAACTGTTCAAAAGAAAAAGATCTGTAAAGCTTTAAACCTCCCACAGAACAGCATGTCTATTACAACAAAATGGCAAACGCGTGGTACAATCCTATACACCACAAAGCCAACTAAGAGGCTTTCGTACCAAATAATTGAACAAGAAAGGCAATTGACAGAGAAATGATCAAGAGCCCAACAGTGGCCAAGGTCGTTGGCTGAGGCACTGTTTACATGACACCGTTTTCAACTAAAACGTGACACTTTTTATTAATTTTGCCCATTTGTTTACATGACGAAAACGTTATAGAACAACTAGTTTGAATAAACGAGCAGACACTGATTAGCTACTTGCTCTACATTTATTTAAAATTAACAGCAAGACAACTAGAAGTGAATGTGCTTTTAAATAAAATCACACACAGTAAACAAAACCTTAAAGGTCCCCTGACATGGGGTTATTTTGTAATTTAATAATGTTTCCTGGGTTGCCCTTATAATGTTAGTATGTTTTTTAGATCAAAAATAGTCATAATTTAGAAATAAAAGGCTTTTTTTTTAGCCTCTGCTTTGAACGCTCTGTTTGAAGGGGCGTGTCTGCTGTGGGTTTCAGTGTAACCGCCACTGCTGTGATTGGCTGACATGCTTGCATATGAAATAGCTACAGAGGTTGGACAATGAAACTGAAACACCTGGTTTTACAACACAATAATTTGTTAGTATGGTGAGGGCCCCATTTTGCATCCAAATACAGCACCAATTCATCTTGGGAATGACAGATAGAAGTCCTTCACAGTGACCAGAGGGATTATGAGCCGTTCCTCTTCCAGAACAGTGTCCAGGTCACTATATGATGCTGGTGGACTCGCTCCTCCAAAATACCTCAATAATATTTAGATCTGGTGACTGTGCATGTTCAACTTCACTGTCATCTTCATCAAACCCTTCTGTCACAAGTCTTGCTGTGTGTGTTGGTGCATGATCATGCTGATACACGGTTTGAGCATCAGGTGCTCATGATCCTCCAGAAGGGTTTGGTAGTCCTCAGCAGTGTCGTGTCCATCAAATACAATCAGGATTGTCATGATATTGGAGCTCAAACCATCACTGATCCACCCGTGCTTCACTCTGAAGATTGGCTGCCAGGCATATAGATCTGAAACCTTCAACATTGGCCAGTGTTTCAGTTTCATTGTCCAACCCCTGTACATATTACATGTGAAACTCTCTCGAATATTTTTACTACAGCTATTATATGTTTTTACAATTACAGCTATTCGAAATTACCGAATCGTGAGACGTTTTTGAAGTATTTAGATTCCCATCACATAAAATGTTGCTGTGATGAGCATTGAGCAGCAGAGGACAGTCTGTTGATCGCAGACTGAGGACAGAATGAAGATCTTAGTGCAACGCAGTTTCTGCACTTTCTCAAATGATTTCACCAATCCAGACACGGTGATGTACATACAGTAAGAGCTTCGTTGTGCAGTGTAATGCAGTTTCTGCTCTCTCTAATGCTTTCACCAATGCAAACACGAAGATGTACATACAGTAAGAGCTTCGTTGTGCAATGTAGTGCTCGTCATTGATTGCATAACGTGTTGTCCAGATAAACTTGCCCTGTGTGGAAAGATTGTTCTTTGATTGCTTTCTGTATAATTTGTTCACAATTTAAATAAGATTATTGTCATCCTACTAAAAGAAACGATGTGAAGTTGATATTTTAGTCACTGGCTTGACTTAGTGATGCATAAACAGTATCGAACGATTTTGAGAGAAAGATTAACTTACCTGTCTGAACTTGAACAATTAGGCTACACATCAGAAATTGTTCTTTGGTAGCTCGGTCAATTTATTTTCAGACGTTCATCGAGTGAAATGTTTGGACCATACAAAACTTTGGGAGTTGAGTCGGCGGATTTCCAGAGAAAATAAAATCAACCCATTGTTTCTTCAGAGGCTCGGATGAACGAACTAAAAAATACTTCTGTGTTCATTTGTACATCCGAACACTGAGCAACTGCCATGCTTCGCTCGTTTGCAAGGAAACGTTCGTTTGTGAGGAAACAGTCCAAACGCGTAATTTTTGCCGCACGCACTTTTGCGCTCGTGTGGACGTGTCGAGTATAGACCTCTCCCGAATCATCTCCAGTAGTAGCAGCCTCCCTCCCAATTTCCCTATATTATTCCCTATCGATATTAGTATTTAAACATTCTCTATGATAAAAAAATGTTTGTGAACAAAATATTTTATAGAGTTAATGACGGTATTCAACTATAACCAACACACCCCTAGTTCCATCGCGGTGCTGTCGCCATCGTGTAAAACCCGCCCCAAGTTTCTGACTGGTACAGCAATTTTGACGGATTAGAAATGGGCTTGAATGAGCTCTTAGCCAGACTAACTTGCAGAGCAAATCTAAATTTGCTGGAAGTTGTCTGGGTTTTCCCAGGCTAGAGGAGATGCATGTGAAGAGATGGTTTTGACAATGGTGTCGTCTGTACGTGGAAAAACTTAAAACTCCATTTTAAGCATATCGTTGTCGTGTAAATTGTACTCTGACGTAAGAGAAACTTGCGCTATAAGCTTAAAACATGGTGAAAATATTGAGAATTCCTAAATTGTGAGTCCGTTTTGGGTGCATAATTCAAATGATACACATCCTATTTGTGAAGAGAAAAATTGTCACAGCCACTCTGTTTATGAATCTCTAACTTCATTCTCTATTACCTATTAGCCAGCTAATCTCTCTTTGTCCGTATTATTCACCTTCACATGAATAGTATAGAAATCTTGGGTGACTCATTGCTTATGTAGGTGTTTCTCTGTGTGTATTAATGTGTCTAAGAGGAGATGATACCCTTCAGTCACGTGAGTCATGAGGGTAAGTTAGTAGCGATAATAAGATTAAAAACATCCCATAACCTATAAACAGCAAAGATTAGCCTTTTATGTATAAGCTTGCCAAAGCTTCAGCGGCATTATTTCCACACTGGTATCAGCAACCACAATCTCTACTAAGTCAAACTGGAGCTCCCAACCCCCATCTTTTTTATCCTCACGGTCTAATAAAAGGTGTTAATGTTAGCTGGATGTTTGTGATATTATGATGCTGCATTTCATTCTAAGGTATAAAGTTTTCTAGTGGTCCTAAGTGGTTAGCAGTGGTGTTCTGGTCTTTAAAACACCTCTATAAAAGACAAAGAATTATATTAGAACAACATAAGAATTCTCTTAAGAGATATGACAAATGAGATGTCTTTAATAGGCCCGTTTCAGATTTTCTCCAAATTTTTTTTAGCTTCAATTCAAACATTTCTCATCAAATGTTTCCACGACCAAATGGAGACAAAATTAATACCTAAAAGAAACATACTCCACAACTCCATTACATCTGAGCTATGAAAGAGCAACCTCTGAGCAAAAACAATTTACTACAGCTTTGAATGATTCTGAACCCTGAAGCTAAGAAAGAATCCTTTTATAGGTCATTTTCCTGGCTTTTTACGTCGAACATGTGTGTGCACATGTGCGTTACAAAGTATTCTTAATGTTAAAAAGTGAAAAGGGCAACTAAAAAAAGGCAGTCCATTCATGACAATGAATGTTAAATGGGAAGTACATTTTAAATTGCTTCAGCACATATTCTCAGTGCATAATCAATTGAGCCATTGGCCAAGTGATAATCTGTTAATAATGTCTGTACACACTCAAGCTGAGGAAGGCATAACAGGGTCAACTCCCTGTGTAGAGACAGCTAAGGATGCACAGGGAGAAATCCCACTCTCTCTGCATCATCTCAGGTGACTGTCTCATTATCACATCCAGTGAGGAGTTTCTACAATCATGTACAAATTATGTTCTCCTGAGACTTACAACAAACCCTCATATGCATACAAACACACACACTATAGCGTGTGAAGGCTCCAAAAGCTGCACAGCAGTGCAGCCCATAAAGAGCAATTCAAACGCATGCAATCCCACAGGAAAGAAAAATCACAAATGAGATTCTTCTTTAACACACACACACACACACACACATATATGACATTTGACATAGCTTATTATGTTTTTTTAAAACATTTATTTATGTTTCTTTTTATTAAAGTTCGGTCATTTCCATGATTAAGTTGTTACCTGTAGTGACATCACTCTTTTTTTCATGCCAACAGCTTGTCTG